TGATTAGTTTTTAAATAAAATAAATGATTTTTATCATCACTTTGGAATAATTTATCTAAAGGTCTATTAGCCATATCCCATATGTTAAAAAGTAGTTTGTTGGATTGCATCATTCATGAAAATATTAAAATATTTTATGCATAGCATTAAATCATTAATCCATATACCTACACTCTACAACACCAATATTAAATAATATGTCGTATACCTACTCGTATAGTCGTATACCATTATACATTTAAACGATTACCGGATTACTAATTTATTATTAGTTATTACTATTTACCTATTAGTCTTTAATCGTTATGGTCTTATGGACTGATTTTGTAATTTTTTTTTTTTTAAGTAATTTTTTTTTTTCAAACGTAGAGTGATAAAAATTATTTCGGGTTGGTAACTCAAATGTAATTTAGACACACATATTTAATGTGACGAATAGGTAACGTAATTATATTACTTTCCTGGCACAAATAAACGAGAGCTTCTAGTCATCATGTGAATGAATTTAATGAATTTCAATATGCGCGCTGCCGTTGATTATATTGTATAGGTACTAATATAGTGATATCATATTAAAGTTTTAACTTAAAATAATTAGTAATTACTAATTTTACATTATATACACCGTTAATAAAGTGAGTAGCAAATAGACGCAAATGACGGTGACTTAGAGGCTAAGGTCCCTTAGTCCTTAACAATATCAATAACCCCCCCCCCCCTACAAAGTCCAAACATTTCCTTCACCATTATACCTTACACCTATACGGCTATACCGTTTCAACGGTTGCTTTTAAAATATGGTCTGGTAGGTATGGGCGTATAATAGCATACTGGTATGACTAAAAAAGTTTCATACTTCGAAAACGAGTGACGGACGAAATAAATATAAGAGCTCCTAAGTCCTAAATCCCAGTCTCTACATGTGCCTTTCTAATAGACTAATCAAAAGTATCTATCTGAGTACAACTTATTATGAACGTCTCGTTATTTTTTGAAATCAATAGAATGGATAATATTATTTCGATGTGACTTTTAATAATAAATTCACATAGGTCATGCATTAATAGTTAGTATCAATTGGAATTAAGTCGAGTATATATTATTATAGATACTATACGCAATAATATGGTAATACTATTGGTAATTGATTATTGAACTGCAAGTTATTAAAAACCGTCAGAATTTAAAATTTAAATAATTAAAATCATATTTAGGTTCAATAAATAATAATATATTCATTTAGTTGTATTTAATATAATATTTAATAAGATGTAAAACATTTATTTTTGGAGAAAAGTGGGTGGGCCAGGGCTTAATAAATATTTGTTTAACGACATAGTCTGATAAACACAGGGACAATATTAAAGTAAAATTAATCTTAAATTCATAAATTAAAAAACTGTGTCCCATATGGCATAAATGCCATAGTTTATCGACTATTGTTAGATGGCAGTTTTAATTCCCTATGCATTTAACATTGTTTTAAATCAAATAGCTACCGTACTTAATTAATTTACAAATAATTTAAATTAAATAAAATACATTTTTATTTCAAAATTCTTCAGTTTTTTATCTGAACTTTCTCATATTCAATGTAACCTCATAATGTTTTTGTTATTCACATATCAGTATCTCACATATAGGTACTTATAATTGTGCTTAAATGTATAGATTGTACATCTATCTATATATATTATAAAACTGAAATCAAGCAAAAGAGGAAATCTTTGTTACGGTTTGGCTTCGAAACTTCTTATCCAATTGTCATGCAGTTTTTTTTTAAATGAAAGAGGATATCACGGAGCAGGTTTTAGGCATAAATAAAGTCAGATAATGTTAAGTCAATAATTAGTTGTCTAGACATATAAAATCCAAATACCACTGACTCACTGATCGCTGTATCTCAAAAACTACTCAACGTACGGACTTGAAATTTGGAATAGAGGTTCTTCTCATATTTTCACAGTGCAATTAGAAAGGATTTTCAAAAATGTTGCGTTTTAGTGGTGTAATTAACGATTATAATATTATTCACTGCCAATACGTATTGTGCGGCACGGTGGCCCGCGGGTTTTCAGCTACATGCAACCTATCCTTTTTGTTCGTCGTCGTCGTCGTCGTCGTGTAGATAAGAATAATGATTCCGAGAATAAAATTGTTCCAAGAAGTTTATCGATAAAAATAATCTCATGCATCGCGCGTACACCAATACTCCTATTTTATTATAATTAATATTATAAACGCGAAAGTTTGTGACTTTGTTACTCTTTCACGTAAAAACAAGTGGACCGATCATAGGCGCAAATAGTGTTTGAAATCTGGGGGGGCTGAAGCCGTAGCTCAGTTCAGGATACTGAATACTCTTATGATGCTTTTAGTAAAGCATAGTAAAATCATTTGTTTTTGGGGGGGCTATAGCAATTCTTAGGGGGGCTAAGCCCCCTAGCCCCCCCCCCCCCTATTTGCGCCTATACCCTACCGATCTTGATGAAATTGTTACACTGTGTGTATTTTGATCCAACTTAAAACATAGGCTAATTTAAAAAGGGATATGACAAACCCCGGGAGGTGCTCAAACGGGAATTTTGAGATTTCAGATGGAAATTGTTGTTTGTAAATGGTTGCCATGGTTGCCATGGTTATATAAATAATAATAATGATAAAAAAAAATTATTTTATTTTCTTTTTAAATATAAATTATATTTAATGGGATTAAATAAATTGATAATTTTAATCAACAGTAGGCAGAATTAAGTAAAAACGACAAACTTGGTATAACTTTGATACATTAGAGTTAAATCATACACTTCCGTACAAATCTATCAGGTAGATTGCCTATACCTGATAAAGTACTGCTGCGATTCAGAATTATTATTCAGGGCAACGGAAAAAATAAGATAAATTTTGAACACCATACACCGAATATTGAATAACGAATTGAACAAAGTTTGAGTCATATTGAGTTGATGCATTTAACGGGCGACGAAGTGCACGGGATCAGCTAGTTTATTATAAAAATAAAAAAAAAACTTTCTCGTTTAATATGAATGAACATAATATAATTAAGATACTTTTTCAATTCATATGAAGTGGAGTTTCTTCATCTCACACTGTCTGATGAAAGCGCCTCTGCAACTATTTTTGTAGCATCTCTTCTGCGTGTGTGTTTCGTGAGCGCGTTCTGCCGACTGTGTCCTCACTGGAATGATGTAATAGCGCCTCCTTTCGCGGAATAATTGACGACGCTAGTTTTGATGACGAGTATTAATATTAATAACATACTAATCGCACGTATGGTACCCACTGGTACGTACTTAGCTGAAGTAATATGACGTATACCTAATATACCTAATATACCGGGAGGGGGGGGGCTTAGTCCCTAAAAAATAATTGAATACTATATCCACTATTCAGAGTATAATTTACTTAATTTAATAAACTGCCAAGAATTTAAAATCATAACATATTTTCTTCTTAGACTTCATTGATAGTTTTAATAATTTGTTTTAAACTTTCAAAGTATTATAATTTATATTGCTCAATCGTAACTTACCAGTCTAATTTTATGCCTAGTATATTTGAAAGTGATAAATCCACGCCGCCAATTATAGTGGATGACAATGAAGTTAAAAAAATAACCAAATTTAATTGAGCTCAGGAGAGAAAACGTTTGCAAAACATTGGTACAGGGGACTTGAAAAGTGAGTATAGACTATAGTTATATAATGACGGGTTACACTTGGGAGAATAAGTAAAAAAGTCGGGAAGTTAAGCATACTGCGTGTTTGAGTGAATGATTTGTATACATAACCTTTTGTATTGTTATTTAATACCAACAATTTATTTATAGAATGAACTGTCATTCCTCAGTTAGTAAACCGAACAATTTAATAATGGTTGTATTAAACATGTTTTATCATGTTCTTGTATAGGTACTAAAAGTAATGTTTATGTACATAAAAATATTACCTTAAATAATAATTCAAAAAATAAAGTTTAAAGCTTTTATATGAGTTGAATTTTTTTTTAGTGACTAGTCTAGCTGTTAACAATAACAGCAACAACAACAACATCATCAACATGGATGGAATGATTATCTACACTGACCGCAGTTATCTATAATAAGTCTGATGTAATTATAGTTTTAGACTAACCATAACCACTAAACAATTTATTTTAGGATGTAATAAATAGTTATGTGTAAAGTGTTTCAAGAAGCTATCTTTCCTAACTAGCAACGAACAAATAAGAGGTATTTCTACTTTTACAAACATCTTTTTTTGCAATTTTTTTCTAAACATAATATGTACCTATCTAGTTAGATTCTACACATAAATATAAATCTAAATAATATTCTTGTAAAAATTTCTTAATAGTGTAACATAATTATGGCAAGATTTTGATATATAGGTATCCAATCAAGAAAATAAGCTTTTTATCCTCAAAAAAAATACAATTTATTACATATAAACTCCTTAATAAAATACTTAGTTAACAAAAGAGGGTAAAGATAGGTTTTACAACTTTGTATACAAAAAATATTTAATTAAATGTATATAATACACAGATTTTAACTAGTTATGTTTATATTTATATTGTCTTACACTAATATATTTTAATGTATTTTACTAATTATCTTAATAGTTTTATAATTATTAATCATAATAATTTTTGTATATTTCTCTGTACCTGACATATTTTAATATCAATTGTAATCTCTTACTGCTGTAATTTAAACCATTTTGTATAAGGACTCCGTCCATTTAATTATTATAAATAAATAATTTATTATTTACATGGATTTTTTGCATAATTATATACCATATAATGGATATACCATATGAGAAAAAAAATTGCACTAAAGCTAAATAAATAATTCTTTTATAATTTACATCTAATATATAAATGGCATCATTAAATACATAGAAAAGAATTTCGTAAAAATACCATTAATTTAACTTATTCTTACAAAAAAACTCACTATATAAAAATATAAGATATCATTTATTACTACTTTTTGAATGTTGTGGTAGTTCAATATTAAGAGGTTTCAATCGATAAGGCACATTTGACAACCCAGCAAGAGCATTCTTCCATGCATCCATTTCATATGGACAATCTTTTATTTCAACATGATCAGTTTTCAAATGATTTGATGAATTCCCATAACCTCTACAACCATGAATATTGCAACTCCAAAGTGTATTAGATGCTTAAATTTACAAAAAATAAATAAAATAATAAAATAACAATCATTATAGTGTTAATACTTAATACTAAAAATTACCTAGAACTAAGAACAAATACAAGATAAATAGGCAAACTACACATTTCAAAGATCAATGTTTTCATTTATTGCTTACTCTAGTTATTTGCCTATAATTAACTATACATAATACAATAGTCCATGCAAATTAAAAAAAAATAGAGGAAAAAAAAGCAGAAAAGCTGAATTTTTTTTTATACACCTTAATTGAAGGGTACTAAGTAACATTTAAGTATGTCCCCTAAGATTTGATGACCGAATTTGAAGAAAAATAACCTTTTCTCAAATAACTTGGTTATTTTTAAGATTATAAGAAAAATACCTACATACAATATTATAGAAGAGGTAATTAAAAAAATTAAAAATGTCCTTACATCATATTATGTTTAAACAATATTCACCTTAATAATCGCACATGAAATATCATATAATTGGTAATTTTTGTCTTATGACGTCCGTAATTGTGATTAACACAGTTTTACATTGAATTATACTATTATAAATGAACAATAGGGGACGGAGTGGCTGAGCGGACTAGGGCAGCCGACGCACGACGGTGGTTATAATACATGTGTCCGGAGGATAAGTGCCGCCATCCAGGCACCCAGGCATGGCAGATACCTACGGGTGCCCAAATCAATAAATTCTGCCAAAACAAACACACAGGTGTAAACAAATCTACACTACCACAGGCTAATAACCTAGTGGATGATGCCTTAACCCTAATAAAAAAAAAAAGAACAATTTTGAATTTATTGCTTTATTACGTTAAATGCACTTATATCAATTTTAACTGATTTATGGTTATATTGGTTAAACATAGTATATATTTATATCCTATCCCAACAAAAACACTCCATCAACTCCGTGTAACAAAATGCTAAGTAAAAAAAAAAAAATATTATTGCTATAAAATATGTGATATTAGTTGGAATCTAAGTAATTGATCTAATGTGTAAAATGTAATATCAGTAAAAATTCCATTAACGGTCACCTCTATAGGACGGTCACTTCTATGTAACAGTCAATTTTTTTGGTCCCGTCGAGTGATATCCTAGTGTTATCCTACCTCTGTAGGACAGGCACCTCTAAATAGCGGTCATTATTTAAAGTCCCTTCGGTGACCATTATATGGAAGTTCTACTATATAAGTAATTAATTCAAATTTAATAAAATTGGTTATTTATATTAATTTATTATATGAATTATTTCAACTCCACATTATATATTTTGAGTGTATACTTTTGTTATGTTTGAGTATTATTATATTGATCCAAATTTAGTTTAATTGGCCGGAAACAAATTTATTTATTTTAATAAGGGCTGCTGGTCTGTATAATTTATTTCATAAACTTAGTACTTGGCTATACATTTTTAGACTGAATCTTCCAGCCTAGTAAACTAAATTTGAATCAATTTTAGTTAAAATAATTCATATTATAAATTTATATAATTAACCAATTTTTATTAAATTTGAATTAATTACTTATACAGTCGATTCCGCTTTATTGGGACACATCGGTTGGCTGTTATTTTGTCTCAATAAAGCGAAATACAAAAACCAACATATAAATTTGTTGAAAAACTGATTTGTTTTATATAATTTTATTATTACAAATTACAAACAATGTATTATAGAAATTATTTGATAGTACAAAAAGAAAAACATGATATAACCTAATTATTTATAAAAATACTTACATATAAAGTATATATAAATATTTTTTTATTATGTATTTTATCTTATTTAAAAAAACTGTTGATTTCGGTACTCCTAAAATTTCCGAAAGACGACGTGTATTACAGACTGGTAGCTGTAATTTAATTTTGTCCAGAATTTCTAATTTTTGAGCAAACGATAAATCTTTACGTACACGAGCCATTGTTGCTACACGCGACAAACACGACTGATGCACCACTGCACCAAATAAAATTTAACTTCTATCACATTTGAACATACGATAAAAGATAAGATAAAATAAAGTTAAATAAGATAAAATGTAATGTAATAATCGATTACGAGAGTCCGTCACGATTGTTGAACTATTGATATCTATTAATATACTCGATAAAAATGTCCCAATTATCCGGATTCGTGGCCCAAATAAGCGGTGAATGTTAACCCTACAAGTATACATTTGTTTTTGTAATTGAAGAATAGTCCCTATTAAGCGGTTGTCCTTATTAACCGGTGTCTCTATTAAGCGGAATCGACTATACATTTTACACATTAGACCATTTTCTTAGATTCCACCTTATATTACACATTTAATAGCACTTATATTTAATTTTTTTTTTAATTAGCGTTTCTTTACAAGGAGTTGACGGAGTGTTTTGTTGGGATAGGATATACAATAAATAACTATGTACAACCAATATAACCAAAAATCAGACAACATTGATATAAATGCATTTAACTTTATGAAATAATAGTTATAAAGCAATAAATTCAAAATTGCTCATTTATAATAGTATAATACAAAGTAAAAACTGTGTTAATCACAATTACGGACGTCATAAGACAGAAATTACCAATTATATGATATTTCATGTTCGATTATTAAGGTAAATATTGTTCTAACATAACATGATGTAAGGACATTTTTTATTTTTTTAATTACCTCTTCTGTAATATTGTATATAGGTATTTTTCTTATAATCTTAAAAATAACCGAGTTATTTGAGAAAAGCTGATTTTTCTTGCAGAAAGCGAGCTCTAGCCGAGGTAGAGGTCATCAAATCTTAGGGGACTTTAAGTATGTTACTAAGTGCCTTTCAATAAAGGTGTATACCAAAATGCAGCTTTCCTGCTTTTTTTTCTGCTATTTGTCAAAATTGAGTATAATTTGCCCGGACTACAAGAGTTTCGACTAAATTTATTAATTTAACTATATTTAATTATATAATCAGTAAATTTATACCTGGAGGGAGTTCAATTGGATGGTTAATTTTTGACGACCATCCAACCGGATGAATATTTGGACCATCGTCTTCAATCCAGTATGCATAATCATCATCAAATCCATCATAAACAATTTTTAATTCATCGCCTCTAACATCTACTACCTTAGCAATTCTTAATAGTCTTGGAACAACACAATCAAAAACCTCTATTATCATTTCATTAGAAAAATCTCGTAAAGGTCTGCGAACAAATGCATCTTCAGGCACAGGTTCACTATTAGTCTCTGCTAAGTATTCGGTCCACTTAAAAGGTTTTCTTCCTTTCTTAGCTAAAAAAAATTTAATATTTTAGTATGCATTTAATGATGTTAAAAATAACAAATTACCTGTATCATATTCAGGTGGAATTAAAGTTCGACCATTTTTTTCACACCATCCTATTGGATGTATATAGGTTGATGTAATGTCTGCCCAGTAATCAAAATCTTCTGACCACCCATCAAAATGAATACGAACACGATTACCCAAGATATCAGCAACAGTAGCAACATATATTAACTGTTTGGTTTGTGTACGGGTTAATTTATCTAATGCTTCTAATTTACCTCCAATACGAAATTTGTGTGGAATGGCACAACTCTATATATAAAAAATAAAAATAATATTTTATAAATATAATTTTAAGCTTACACAATTATGGTAATTACATTAGTTATTTATGTTATCTCTACCATTTTTGTAATGATAAGCATAACCATACATATAATATAAAAATATAATTGAACATTTTGAACAAATTACATGACTTAAGAAAGCTTACAAAACTAGCAGTTAAAGCTGTTTCTATTTTAATAAAACTTACAACAGTATATTTGTATAAAAACATGTCCAATTCACCACAAAAATAAGTAGATTTCAAACTAATTACAGAATAAATGAAAAAACTATGGGATATTACATATGAAAAAGTCTCAGTCAGTTTATTTATTTATTTAAGCGACCAATATTAAATTAAGGTTGAATTAGAGGTTGTAGTTTAATTACATTTTACAATTTGATGTACAAATTTAACCTTGTAGTTAAAGATCACTACATAAAAAAGTAATTAACTATTGCTTACACCAAGGTTTTTAGTAGAGATAAAATTACACTTTGGAGCAGGTACAGCTTGACATTCTCTAAGATAAACAGTCCAATCAAATACTTTCCCATAATTGTACGGTGGTTGTAGAATGCGCGAATTCATTTTACACCATCCTGCATAAAACAAATCTGGACAATCCGCATTTACCCAAAAATCATGTTCAGATCCATAACCATCAAAATTCAATTTAATACGGTATCCTAAAAAAAATATAAATATACCAAACAATAAAAAATTCAATTAGGCAGAGTTTTTACCATAATAGGGTTACAACCATAGGAGCAAACATGGAATAGCTTGGGAGAGAGGGTTAGCATCCTAATTTATCAGTATAGTTATTACATGTTGTATACAATATTAGTTTATGTATAGATATTTAACTAGTAATTTTAGTAACTTAATTGATACCACTTTTACACTAATAAACGAATGTGTAATAACTGCATAATAAATTTTAGGATTTAATCAGTTTTTTTAAGATTACTTAAGATCAGAATTTATAGTTATTAAAATGTTATGAATATTCCATGTAGGAATAACTTAATCAATCAAGTTGGCTACTTGTAAAAGGTAGTTTTCCGCCATTCAAAAAGTGTAAAAATGGATTAGATCAACAATGTTACAACAGTGATTTAGTGGACTAACAAAGGGTTACTTAACATTGAAAAATCTATAAATTATCTGAAAATAGATCAGACAGAAAATCACTTTTAATATTGTACATAAATAATTTTATAAAATATATTTAATTATAGTAATGTTCCAAGTCAAGCCAGGAGTTTTTACCAGTCAAATTATTTTTTTGTTAAAAAATAGTGCTTAATCCCACTCAATGTAATTTTCTATTTTAACCTATGGTACCAAATTTAATTTAACAAACAATTACCACAAACTTCTGTAACGGTCATTACACAGAATAATGCTTCATATTTTGGATCAATTCCTTCCAGTTTTTCTCCAACTACAAATAAGTTCTTTTCAGTAGGAAAAGGTCTATCAAAAAATTGTAGAGGTGCAGATCTGAGTTGAAACCCAGTCATATATTTTAACACATCATTATCTTCTATCAGAGGCTAAAACAGAATATAGACATACTGACTTAATCAAAAATTAAATTTTTATGTATCAAAGTATACTTTTAGATCAAAATAATTATGATTATCTATCGCTTCTGGATAACTGATTGACAACAATGATTTAAGTGGCGGTTGATTTTCCTCTTTAGATGGTTCATTAAAAATATGTATTACCTGTTCATTAGAATTGTCATTTTCTTCAGGACAAGAAGTTTTTAACATTTGTTTCTTCTTATTAATTCTATTTTTAAGTTTTGTTAGTTTCTTCTTATTAATTCTATTTTTAAATTTTGTTAGTTTCTTCTTATTAGTTCTATTTTTAAATTTTGTTAAAATGTGATTACGATCAACTGTAGTTTTTTCGGTTGGATTGGAAGTTTCATCGACAAAATGTTCTTCGGTTACTGTTTGTTTTTGGTTTTTACATGCCAAACTACAAAATAAATTATCAATCAATAATTCAGGTTCTTCCATCAATTTACCACAATTTTCATATTTGCAAGAAATAAACTTTTTAGATGTATCATCTGTAAATAAACATTTAAGAAAAAAGTATTTAAAAAACTGTTATACAATTATACAGATTAAGCACACAATATATTTTTCACCTTTATCAGAAGAATCACTTTGAGCAATTAAATAATTAACTTTGTACTTATTTGACGGTTTTTCAACCTCTCTTAAAATCTTTAAATTCTAAAAAAAAATTTAATTATGTTAGCAGAACTTTAACTAACTCTAAATAATTCCAACAAACAATACCTGTGATCCACGAGTTTCAACAGCAGTATGACTTAATTGTAGACTATTTGATTGCTTTAAAGATTCTGAGTTTGATGATAGCTGAACAGACTTAGGCAAAGAACTCTTATGTTTTTTTTTTACAATTGATTTTAATCTATGTGATGAAGAAGCATTTGACTTCAGCGATGAACATCCTGCAGGTATTCTGTTATTATTTTTGTGACTGTGTTCTAAATTAACTGGCAAATTAACTGTAGCAGTGGATGCTGTTTTAAATGTCCTTACGTTTAAGGAAATGTTTTCTTTTAGTCTTTTAATAAGGTTTGAGTTATTAGTAGCGCCATACATAATATTTTTATTTAATCTCATCGATGGCTCAATTATTTTTGAATCAGAATCAGAGTCATCTTCTGAGTCATCTCTCTCAGTAATCTGGTCTTCGGGTATAGGCATATTCAATTTGTTTCTTACATCTATAATTCCACTGTTATTGATGTCATTCAATGAATCATCATCATCATCGTCTTCAATCACTATTGGTGATTTATTAAGCACAGTGTAAGGAGGAGCGGAAAATTAGTTTCACCAGTATCACCATTGATCATTATACAGCAATGAAACACTATTATTGATGTCATTCAATGAATCATCACCATCATCATCGTCTTCAATCACCATTGGCGATTCATTAAGCGAAGTGTAAGGAGAGCGCTGAAAATTAGTTCCACCTGTACCATTGTGATTTTCATACAGCAATGAAACACTATTATTGATGTCATTCAATGAATCATCATCATCATCGTCTTCAATCACTATTGGCGATTCATTTACCACAGTGTAAGTAGGAGGGGGAAAATTAGTTTCACCTGTATCATTGTGATCTTTATGTGGAAATGAAACACTATTATTGATGTCATTCAATGAATCATCATCATCATCGTCTTCAATAACTATTGGTGATTCATTAAGCACAGTGTAAGTAGGTAGAGGGAAAATTAGTTTCACCAGTATCATCATGATCATTATACAGCAATGAAACACTATTATTGATGTCATTCAATGAATCATCACCATCATCATCGTCTTCAATCACCATTGGTGATTCATTAAGCAAAGGGTAAGGAGAGCGCTGAAAATTAGTTCCACCTGTATCATCATGACCATTATACAGCAATGAATCACGATCATCGAATGGATCTGCCCACGATAGGGATTCTACATCTTCATCAGATTCTTCCATGATTTCTTCAATTAAGTTTTTATATAATGAACCCTGCAAAATCATTAAGGAAATTTCAATACATATTTTATTATTCTAGAGTAATATTATTGAGAAAATATTTGAGGTACGATAAACACAACAATTCATACATTTTATCAGAATTTTAACTCTTTAAAAAAATTAAGAATTAAATTAATAAAATAATAATTCTGAAATGGTTTAATAGTGTGATTTTTAAAAAGATACTAAATATTTTTTAGGTGTTCAGTTTTCATCTGAGTTATTAACATTATTTCCAACTTTTAATCTTAAGCACATCACATTTACTATAGGTATTAAAATTACTTGAAACATTAAATAATATGTAACATTCAATGATTTCTAAGGTTCAAATTGAAATTGTATCTAGATATAAAGTTCATATTAAAATATTGGTATTAAAAGCTATGATTCACACTGCTAAGGAACGCACAGATCGTCACAGCTTGTCCAACTACTCATACTCAACAGGCATCATCCAAAGTCAAAATAAATAGTTACTCATCACAAACAAATAGCATAGCTGTGTAGTTACTTACATATTGGTTGTTATGGGTAGTCATTCTATGCCGTTCAGTGTTTAAAAAACTATACAATGTTTTGTAATTCCTCCCAATGTCACCAATTCAAGGATCACAAAGACAAGTTTTTTGAGTACTTCCGAATGCCCAGATTTTAAATTAATACACTTGAACTTAAAATAAAAATAAAATACAGGGTAAAATACACAGTTTAGAGAGTCAATACCGGCTAAAAAAAAATTAGGTGTATGTTTGAGGTAAATGATTTTATTATTTTAAATAGAAATTGTTATATCATTTTTAAGTAAGTCTATGAGTAACATTTATAATTGGGCTAGTGAGATTGTATCGTATTTGAATTAGAATGTAGTTTTAAGAGGACAATATAGTGACTATATCCGCATGCATTGTCTCCGTCTTACAAATGTACAACATAGCAAAAAACTGTTTTGCGCAGGATAGAACCACTCATTCGGTACTTATTGTAAAATTACCAAAATTCCACAACGCATAGGAAACAACTTTATCTGTGTCGTAGCTTTTTTATTATTTGGATAACATAAATAAAATTAAAGTTATCAGTTTGACAACATTAGGATTTTTTTTGTTTTTTTCATTTAATTATTAAAAACTATTAGTAAATATCATCAAGAAAATAAAAACACTAGGACACAGATAAAGTTGTTCCCTATCCGTTATGGAATTTTGGTAATTCTACTATAAATATGGTGGTTCTATATGAAATACTAATGAAAAATCTACATACATAACAAAAACTGTTTTGAGCGGGATAGAACCACCATATTTACAGTAAAATTACCAAAATTCCACAAAGCATAGAGAACACAACTTTATCTGTGTCGAGTGTTTTTATTTTTTGTTAGCATTAAGGAATAAGAATAATATTGAAGAATAAGTTACATAAATGTGGTACCGGACGACTACAATGACATTATATATCATTCAGATGATTAGGAAATTCTAGTGGTAGGTGAGAATTCTGTGGCATTTGAAAAATCTATTCAAAACGTAGAAACATAATTTAGAACGCCAGCTCTAATTCAACCACGACAAAAAAAATTTAAAACAACAAATTTATTGAAACCACCGAGACTGTAACATCTAGTCTTATGAAATATATCATTCAACAAAAAATGCCTAATAATCATTTCCAAAAACAAGAGAGTTAGATGCTATGGACCAATTTTTTTTTGTCAATGTGTTCAACGATCAAACAGTTCTCACCGTACTTACAACATATTGCGAAAACTAAAATTTTCATATTATATCTGAATTAGAATTAGAACAACTGAGACAAAATCAACAGCAACCAAAATCAACTATTTCTAATGAGGACTAATAACAACAACTATCAAGTGCAAACACAAGCCATTCCTAAGGTAGGTACTTTAATTAAGTCATTTACCAAATTTTTAACACGCTCGATCACAAACTACAAATCACACAGAAAATCCCGATCATTTATATATTCAAAAACTACAGGTTCAATATGGACAATTATCCTGCAACTGTTAATTATTACTACACAAAATCTAGTGATACTAGAATGACTAGTAACTTTTCTTTAATATTTTCTTACAATTTTAAGTTATATCATTTATTTTTAATTAAAAGAAAAAAATCTAAATGTTTTTAAAAAATAATGAATACCTACCTAATGAAAATGTTTAAGGTAGAAAAAATAAGTTCTAATATCCTATGGTGGTAGGGAGGTATAAGTTATTATTCATTGCCACATCTAAAAAAATTTAGTTCGGCGCCACTACAATTATCATTATTTAAAAATAATAACTGATACAATCAATGATAATTTAATTTTTATAAAAATAACATGTGACATTCTGTTACCTACATTTTATAGTGGTTGGGCTGAGGGGGCTGGACGACAATTTTTAGAGGAAAATAAGCCCTTCCTGAAATACCGTGTCTGATTTTAGTTAAATATTTAACTACCTATATTTAGTAACTAGATTTTTAAATATATTTTATAATTCTAATCATAGTATTTTTTTTAAATGTTTAGTTAGAATTACCTTATAAGTTTAATTACTATATTATAATATGTAAAATATAAATAATAAAGATAAAACCCCATTAAACAATTACAAAATATCAAAAATTAAGAATGTATGAATGCTTTATGTATTTGTTTATATCAGTAATAGGTACCGCATTACCTATAGGTATATAAGATATTAATATTTTTCGTAGCCGGCTATTAACTAGCATTTGGCCTAGGAACTATAATAAATAAAATAATATTATGTGGTCTTCACTGAGCCTGATGTGAGTTGTAGGGCGTGACGAGAAGAGAAATAATGATGAGCTAAATACCTAGGTACTATAGTACAATAACAAATTATATTGGGACGAATAACGTCCAACCAAATAAGTGATATAATTTGTATAGTGAACGCTGAAGAAGTCAATTCGACCGAGCTCGACAAAATAACAATAATAATAACAATACTGATTAACAATGATAAAAATACCTATAGGTCATACCATATTGGGAATCGGTGCACAGGACAACAGGTCAGCAATGATAAAATATGTCAGTCGGCGTAGCCTGCGACTGCAGCTTGCTGTCTTCTACGACGGTGGCGATTTCAGCCTGCGGTCTGCTATGGCGGTGGCGACTACAGCCTGCTGTCTGCTACGACGGTGGTGACTACAGCCTGCTGTCTGCTATGGCGGTGGCGACTACAGCCTGCTGTCTGCTACGACGGTGGTGACTACAGCCTGCTGTCTGCTATGGCGGTGGCGACCACAGCCTGCTGTCTGCTACGACGGTGGCAATGATGAACGGCGGCCCCGCTCGACGTTGGACGGCTCGACAGCAGACTAACGTTATCACGGCCGAGGTGACGGAGTCACTGATAATACAAACCCGACGGGTTGACCAACGGCCGTCGAAGGCACTAGCTCGGCTCTCCGGCGACAACAGCTATCCACACATGCGGTATCCACACACGCTAATCACAAGCACGGGCATAGACGGCGACGGCGGCGTGACACGTCAAACGACACCAGAAGGACGCACGAGGTTACAGCAGCGCACAGGACGCTCGAGTGTCGGGCGTGGTGTTGAGCCAAAGGCCCAGCAACAGGCGCGCAAAAGTGACGGGGCGGACACGGCAAAGGCAAAACGGGCGTGTGATCGGCGAGACAGTGAAACTGTACTGAATGAATACTGACTAGTGAGTGGTGACGCAGTTGTGCGGGACAGTAGACCTGTTGCTGGCGAGCGCAGAATCGGAAAGACAGAATATGAACACCGGGATCGCGGCTGTCGCTGTTAGTTTCTTTTTCTATGATCGCTGTCGACGGCTGCCGACGGCTGTCGACGGCGGCTGTGGTACTAGCGGTTAGTCGGAGCAAAGAACAAGGAACAAACGACACTATCGGGTGTGATAACATAGTACGAGGAGGTACGTACGAACCACTGAAGGCTCCGCCCTGTGTTTTTTGCAATGAAACGTTATGTTTAGTAATACTTTAAATTGTATTTATTTGTTGGTAAGTCTTTTTAATAGTGTCTAATGTCGATTTGTTCTTTAAATGTATTATATTAACTATGAGTACTTTATAATTTAAAATCAAGTATTTTGAAATTAATAATATTATTGTGATATTATTTTGTTATCAACTATTTAATTTATTATCAACAATTGGGAAAGTACGCAGCATGGCTTAAGATAAACAGGTTACGAAACGCAGCTGTGATTATTGAGGCTCTAGTCTGTCAATCTTCGGATACTAGCGAGAATGATACCTAGCGCTCCATGCGGTACTATTTAGCTTTATTTATATTTTTCCACGATACTTTTTGAATTTTGTCATGTATTTTAGTTTTAACTTACACGGTAAACAACACAATATTTTAAGATTTTTATGAGATTTTTTTGATTTTTTACATAAATAAACAATTATAATACATAAATATAACACGGATAAATGATAATATAAAACATTTAATAACCTAACTGGATACAAGTTTTGAAAGTTTCTTTTTGGCTCTATTAATTTTATTTAATTTTTGATTTTCAATGTATGTAAATTGCCTCATACGCATTGTTATATATATGGTGAAGATATCTGTAATCATTTCATATTTATGAATAGAACATGAAAATGTCAAGCTTGTCACATGAAGAAAAAATTCATTATAAGTATTTTCAAAGACATCACCAGCACTTGCATGTTTACAAAAGCAAGTTTCCAATACTTTTAATATTTTATATAAGTTACCACTAGGATGAGTTAAAAATCCTTTACTTTTTAAATTTACCAACTCTGATTCCATACCTAAGTTACCATCATTCTTTAAATTTTTTATACATACTTCACACTTGGACTTTTTGCACAGTCGTCTAGCTAAATACCTGCAGATTTGATTAAAAACTTATTAGACATTTATGTAAGAAATAATATTGATTTATCATCTTTACCCTCCTAAATAGTAAACCACGCATTCAAAAACTGAACTTTTTGTATAATCGTGCTCTAAAAATATGTCTTCACAGTCCCAGTTCTTATCTTCAATTATCAAGTCTAATTTACTCTTCATGTTTTTAATTTTTTCTTCACGCAATGATTCATTTGAAATAAGATTTTTAAAGTCGCAAATATCAAGTACCGGTTTTTGGACTGAAAGTATGTAAGTAAATATATAAAGTACTTATTATAGATCATATATACCCATTTAAATTATTTACCTTCATCAACTGTACAGTTACCACTTTTAGGTGGTTTTATTAGAGAAGATACAGTCAACATTCTGTATAATTGTAAGAATGTTGGTGTAGACGGGTGGTCGTTAGGACCAGAAACTTGACGTATTATACCAAAAAATTTCTTTAAATAATATATGTTAGTAAGTGTAAGATGGTCAATCTTTAAAATTAAATATTTCATACTTCTAGTTTATCCTGATTCATTTTAGCAGTTAATACAAATGAAAAATTACAACTGTCCAACAGATATTTTGAAAGTTCAATGCTAGATTTAATTGTTACTCTCAATCCATCAGCTGTTTGCTGAGTTAAAAATTCATTTGAAGATATGAGTCCATCTATAACTTTTGACTCCCAAGAATCTAACCATTTCATTGCATTTTCAAGAATCTAAGTACATTATTTGAAAAATGGGCATGAATTAATTAATAAAATATTAAGTAAAAATATTCCCACAAAGTTTTTCTAATAGTACACAGTATATAAAAATGTTACTTTAACATTACTCTATTTTTATATTATTATAGTTTTGAACGATAAACCACAAAAGCATCATGCAACATAAAGATTTGAACATAGAACACAATACAGCTATACCTAATGTCAAGTGCCAACAAACATAAATATTTGTTAAACATAAAGAAAAACCTCAAAATCATAAGAATTTTTTCTGATTCCTTCTGCAGGAAATTTACGATTGAACGCATCAAATAAATTATTTATAAACAAGGTAAATTGTTCTGTTTCTTCAGAATGTATAAGATTTTTTTCATTTCTATTTCTATAAAATTGTATACCTACAGCCATTGAGTTACTGAAAAGCTAACATAAGTATTAAAATTAGTTGATAATTTTTAATAGCATTATTATTTAAAACATTTTTAAATTAGATATCATATTTACCTGAGTTGCAAACTTAACTTTCATTTTTGACAAATTAGTTAAATATATGTGATTCCTAGTAATTTTTGGACATACTTTCCCTAGTTTATTCTCATCAAGCCTGTACACTTCAGAAAAATGTTCCCATTTTACTAATGGTTTGGAAGGATCCAACTAAATTTATAACACATAATGTAAGTATATAAAAAACCTTTTTATGTATTTATATTACCTTTAAACATTTTTTTTCGTATAAGCGATTACGTATCGTCTTAATGAGATGAGGTGCGTCACTAAAAACAAAAACTTTTCTAGTTTCATCAAATGGATTACAAAAACTATTATTTGTATTCCCTATCTTTCCTGAAATGCCTAAGTTATTCCACATGGTCCTATTTGTACTGGCCCCATCAGTAGTTAGTCCCAAAACCTGTGCTCCTGCGTTCTCTAATAACATTATTGCTTTCACTACTAATTTGGTCAAATCCATTCCTTAAAATTGTTTAAATATTAGTATATTAAAATTGAATTTTTCTTATCAATTATAATTTATATACCTTTTACAGGACCTTTGGAGGCAAAAACTGCAATAGGTTGTGTAAAACTATCTGCAAGACTAGACCACATAAATACCAAACCATGATCTGCTTTTTCAGTGTCTCTACTTGGAAGTTCTCCTCCAAAATCTTCCAATCCTGAATAACTTAAAGTACGGCTGTTTACTGATATACTTGATCTCAAATATACCTCATCTAATAGTAAAATGCCTTTTTTTTGATAGTCACTTTTACTCAACATTTTTTTTTTCAGAAGTTTAAAGAAATTAAGGTCAAATCCACATTCATTATTAATTGCCAAAAGATACTTTCTAACAGTTTTTACACAGGGAAGTGGAAGTATGTTTTGGTTTCTCAGAAATCTATATCCACTTGGGCTTCTGAAAATTATTAATTTGTATGATTCATATTTATTCATATTATTATATTTTGTAATAACTTACCTAATCTGTAAAATTAAGCATAATAGAATCCAGTTATCGCTATACCTTCTCTGATTCTTACATTTAACTTTAGCAGCATTAAAAATTTCATTGACTAAATTAGATTGACAGTCAGATAAATTAGATTTCTGAATTATTTCATTTAATGTGGTTGATGAGACTTGGGATATTTTAGTTTTGATATTATTCAACTGCAATTTCAAATTTTTAATTGTTTTATGCGCTCTCGAAAACTTTTGGCTTGCAATTTTTTTGGATTTAAGAATTTTTTTGAATTTGCTTTTTTTGCTCGGTGTTAAAGGTACTCTTAAAGACTTTCCAGCTGACAATATTTTGAATTTTTTATTTATGGTGTATTTTAATCTATTACACCATACACATAATTGACTATTCAAAACAGAATGAAATTAGAAATGTTATTATTTCAAAATTAATTTATTAAGGAAAATTTAAAATATTTCAGAATTTAATACCTGGCTCCATCTTCTATAATATTTAAACAATTCGCATGTTTCCAGTGACCATTAAATTCTATAAATTGAGAACCAAAAGAAGTTTTTACATTTTTGTCAGTTTTTACACCTCGACAAACATTAACTTTTACAAGTATATTTAGCATGTATTCAATATTCAATGTTTCATCATAATTATTTATTCCAACCTGTGATAACTTAATTTGTTTCTCATTAATGTAAAATGTTGGCTCAGAATCTATAAATATATTTTTATGGTAAAGTTAAGTTAGTATTCGAAGTACACATATTTTTTTTTTAACTGATAAATTATTATCCACGATACTAGTCATTATGACAAACATTTAGATGTAGATGTAACTATTGTTTACTTATTTTAATACCTTTTAATATAACTAATCGTTTTTCCACAACTCTTTTATTGTATATTTGAAATGGACTGAGAATAAAATAAGTTTTTGCTATAACAGATCCATTATTAGTAGTAACATCACAAAACCAATTCATGGGTAGTGAAATTGAACTTTCATCATTTATCAATATATTATCTTGAATTACTACCTCAGATATTGATTCAATTACACTGTCAGATAACTGGGCATTTAAAATAAATTTATTTTTAATTTACTTTTGTCAATGTTATTAAAATTATAATTTATTCAAACCTCAATACATGCTCGTTTGGCAAGTGGTGGTTCAAACTCATCATTTAGATTAACTTTAGAATAATTATGTTCGTTAAGCATTGTCATTGTTTCATTCACCTAATAATATTTTTAAATTAGTAAAAATAAAATATTTGAACTATTAATATATTTATATATCTATACTATTTCCTAAACTAACCTGGTTTATGTCATTTACTTCATCACTTAAATTATTAATTGGTATAACTCCAGATTTTAACCGTGGCTTTCTTAAACAAATCTAAAAAAATTTACCTATTATCTATTCATTTTTACTTATATGTATAATGTATATATTTCAATAGAACATACCGAGATTTGGCTACTACCATTACCAGACTCCCATGTTGATGTAATATCACTAGGTTTAAAATGGTTTGCACAAACTCTTGAATTCCTGTTTAAAGGACACCCAATAAT